ATCGGGCAGTGTTTCGTTCTGCTGTGCATGGGGTTGCTATGAGTCGAAAACGACTCGACGGCACTTAACAACAACAACAACAACATATTCTTGCATGTTAATGATAACGCAGTTCCTCACGTTACTGTTTTAAGGCAGCGGTTCTCAAATTTTAGCATCCATCAGAATCACCTAGAGGGCTTGTGCCACTCTAACAGAAATACCACAAATGGGATGCTCGAACAAATAGGAGTTTATTCTCTTACAGTTCAGGAGGCTAGAAGTTCGAGTTCAAAGTGCCAGGCTCTAGGGGCTGTATGAAACCCCTTAAACTTGGGCTTCAGCTCTGCCTCTTGTTCTCGGCCCACTGAAGCTAGAGGCATCTTTTTGCTCAGGCAGTTACTGCCTTCTGAGACTAACAAGCCTAAGGTGGACCATTAAAATGGCACAGTCCATCCCGATGTTACCAAACCACACAGCAGGCCATTTATTCAAGTCCATTGAAAGTCCCAAGGTCGGCAGAGCATGGTAGGCTGCTGAACAATCACATAGCTACATGCAGGGTTCAAGCGTGCCAGAAGCTAGAGACTATTCCCAAAGCTGTTTCTTATATACAGGAAGCAGACCACATTCCTACAGCAGCTACTCAGCTGCTTGTGTACATTCCACCATGGAGTTGAATGCCAGTCTCATCATGGGAAATAACTACCACTAGCTGTCCAGCCACTCAACCAGGCCCAGCCAAGTCAACACACAAACTTAACCACCACAGCTTGTTAGAACACAGATTATTGAGACCCATTGCAAAGTTTATGATTCAGTGGGTGGTCTGGAAGTTGAACCCAAGAAATTGTATTTCTGTGGAATTTCCAGGTTATGCTATTGGCTGTTAGTCCTAGGACCACCCTTTAAGAACGATTGCTTTAAGAAATTCCTGGAGAAAGATTATATTTGACCACAAATTATACTAGGAATAAGTAAAGTATATGAGATTGTGAGGACAGACAGTGATTATATATTGCAAATCTTTTTGTCAGGAATTGCAGAGAGAAAACACTTTCTTACGTGCACAGTTTGCTCAGAAGACAGAAGCCCTGAGCAAGGAAAAGATTGAGCTTGAAAAGAAACTCTCTGCTTCAGAAGTTGAAGTCCAGCTCATCAGAGAGTCACTCAAAGTGGCATTGCAGAAGCATTCGGAGGAGGGGAAGAAACAGGAAGAAAGGGTGAGTCGAGGAGCTGATATCTCTGATGCACAAAAAAGTTGGCACCAGACAGGGATAAGTCAGCCCTCTCCCAAATGAGCCTAGGCTGTTTCTGACCTCCGTTTCTGGAACTAGGAGTAGGCAGTTGGGGAGCCTTTTCCTTGGCTTCTCGCTCAAGATCCATCTGTTAGAAATGGAATTCCTCCTTCTTCTCCACAAAGCTACTATAGTCAGGAAAAGTTACATAATCCCTCACTGTCCCAGGTTGTGATATGCTACCAGCTGGCTTGGGTGAAAAAAACAGCCAAGATGGCACTGTTGGAACGTGTTTAAACACCTGTATCAAACTTAACACTCTTTAGCTGGGTTTCTCCTCACCCTAACTAAAAAGCAGAGAAAAATTCTCTATGTGTAGCTTTAATATTTGCCAGTGCTCCTAGAATTGCCCTAGAGTAAGATTGGTCATCATGGAAAAAACTGGTTTAAAATCTTTTGATTCTAGTAGTACCTACCCCCAATTCACAGCTTGTTGTAATGCAGGTGTTCTTGGGGAAATCAGTTTAATCATTTTTATTTCTGGACACTTACATCAAAATAAACTAGAGCAGAGCATAAACATTATTTGGGGATCTTGTTAAAAATGTAGACCTGATTCAGTAGTTCTGGAAGGGGCCTGATATCCTGCATTTCTAACAAGCTCCCTCGGATTGTTGGTACTGTGGGTGTAGCAAAGACTTAGGGCATCTGTTAAAAAAGAAAATTTTAATGAAAATAATATCTGTATCTGAGTTGAATAACCAAATGCTAATAGGTTTATAATAAAAAGTAGCAGTCTTTGCCCCAGCACCACTCCACAAAGGTGTATGTCCTCAACTCTTCTCTTTTCCCTGGTATATATCTCTCTGTTTCTGAATCATATGCTTTTTTCCCCCATATTTTGGTCACTTAAGGTATTACCTATTCCAGAGTCACAGGTGTAATAGCTTACCTTCTCTGAGGATATTGGTTATAGCTTTTTAGGATGTCTACTTCTGCTTATGTTTCCCTCAGGTCCCTTTGTTTTGTTTGTTTTTGGTGTCATTCATGTCAAGGCTTGGTTATCTGGGAACAAATGTACACTCATATTTACAAGTTGCATGGAAGCTTGGGGTCATGGTAGTTGCCCTGGTGGACTTCACCGTACAGTGATCAGACCTAGACTGCCCATTTCATTTAGAGACCTTCACATGTCAGTATCTGGATGTCTTATCTCACTTTCTTGAGAGAAGAATCTTCAACCTGCTACCTGGTGAGGAGGCTGGGGGGCAGGAAGGCTTTGGTCTTTTGGTGATGAGATTAGTGTTTGAGTTCCACAGTCTCAACATAGATTTTCATTTATACTAGTTTTCAACCCAGTGCTTTACCACCCTTTCCCTCTGCTGTGACTGATATCCCTGAGTTTGGAGCCACTCTCATTCATTTGTCCAGAGAATAAACCTTCAGTTTCCTATTGAGGAAGCCCAGGGTGAGGGCAGTATTGGGCGTATAACTAGTATATAGACTTCCAGTGAATCCCCCTGTTTTTCTGTGGCTGATACTGCTTCAGAGGTGCCTGGTACTTCAAGCACAGTCTGTCAGAAGTTGTGAGAGGCACGTTATCTTTATTATCTGTAACTCCCACTGCAGATTCTAACTTCATCTGTTGTGCTAAATCATTTATCCCCCTCTGTCCACTTTAATTTTTCAAAAACATGTTGAACTCATCTGCTTTTGTCTTCTCCCCTGTTCTCTCTTTTTTTTTTAGGTTAGTACTTTATTTCCATCTTGCCATTTTAGAGATATCTTGGAAAGGATAAATGTCTGGGATCAGTTTATCATCTTTTTTTTTTTTAATTCAGAGTTAGTTACCAGTATTTTAAATGAGCTTCGCAGGTGATTCTGATGCATATTAAAATATGAGAAACACTGGTTTCAGAGATGGAAGGGTATAGGTAGATGTACCTAGGGTAAAGCTTTTGTCTGATTTTTCAGTAATGTTTTTTAGTACTGTCTTGTCTTTGGATTAAATTATGCCATGCCACCTCTTTGGCATCAGTGGATCTGCCTCAGTATTTCTCTGCTTTCTCTTACTTCTCATAGCTTCCCTTTTTTAAAAAAAAAAAATTTATTGTGATCTGGGTGAAAGTTCACAGAGCAAATTCATTTTCCAAAAAGCAGTTTATATACACTTCATCTTATGACATTGACTGCAATTTCCCACAATATAACAGCTCCCCTCCCACTTCCTCCCCATAGTTACCTCTTCGCTGTGTCTTTCCTTCCCATGCACTCCTGCCCCCTGAGCTGTCTCCCTGTGCATACACAGCCCTTCTGTTCTCCCATGAGGGATCTAAGGAATGTACATCTACCTAATGTAAATGTTAGCTCATATGCCTGTCTTTTGTTTGGCTGGAAGCCATAGGAGTGGGTTCATTTCAAGACCTGAAGGGTGACTAGGGGCCATAGTCTCAGATCCACCAGGCTTTATCAAACCAGAAAAACTGGTCCCTTTTTTTTTTTTTTTTTAAAATGATTTTTGAGTTTTGTTCCACATTGTTCTCCCACTCTATCCAGGATTTACTACATAGATCCCCCTCCGAATGGTTGACAGTGGTAGCTGGGCACCATCTAGTTCTTCTGGTCTCATAGTCATATAGGCTGAGAACTGCCTGATGTACCAGTTGCTTGGACTAATTGTTTCTATGTGTCTTGATTTTCTTCATTCTTCTTTGCCCTGGTTAAGGAGAGACCTATCATTGCATCTAGATGGCCACTTGCAAGCATTTAAGATCCCAGTCGCTGCTCGTCAAGTAGGATGTGGAACAGTGTTTCTGTGTAGTATGTTATGCCAATTGAGCTTGATATCCCCTGTGACCATGGTCCCGAGCTCACCGATTCAACTATGTACTCCCTCTAGGTAGCCTTAGCTTCCCTTTTTCATAAGCCAAAGAAAAGGCCATAATAGGGGGGAAAAGTCTCCATTCTTCAAATCTACTGAGTGCATTGCTTTTTACTAACCATTGTGCTAAGTGCTAGAGATACAATGATGAGCAAAATGGACACAGCCCATCCCCTCAAGGAGCTTACAGTTTAGTCTTGTTAGTTCTTCCAGATGGTTGCTTGACTTTTTATTGCATGTCGTGTTTAGGGAACAGTGTATTACCTTTCTTAGCAGAACTGACCAACTGGTTGTATGTCTAGAGGGAAGTGCTACTAGTTCTTTAAAGCTGCCCAAGAAACCCATCTTCCCTGCCCTTGACTGTAATGTTCAGATGTGTTAACTCTGAAGTTTATGCCCTAATTCCAAATGGCAAAATTTGATGCATTTCCTGCCTTCATTGTAGTGAAACAACACCCATAGCTCCAAGGGCAGAGAGAATGGTCACTTTGAAAAAAAGTTAATGTTGAGGGTCCTAGAACCTGTGGAGACAGCCTCTTAACATTTCTTTTTCAAGGTCAAAGGTCGTGATAAACACATCAATAATCTGAAAAAGAAATGTCAGAAGGAATCAGAGCAGAACCGGGAGAAGCAGCAACGTATTGAAACTTTGGAGCGTTACCTGGCTGACCTGCCCACCCTGGAAGACCATCAGAAGCAGAGCCAGCAGGTAACAGCAATGTACCTGGGGCAAGCAAGGAGTGGCCAAGCAGGCGGACATTTGCAGCATTTGCTGTGCGCAGGTACCCCCTGTATCTTCCTAAAAGGCAGAGAATTTATATTTCCACCCCAGATATACTCAGTTAGAATCTGTTTCTTAATATAAATCATAAGAAACATCTGGGAATCTTGTTAAAATGTAAATTCTGATTCAGTATATCTGGGGTGGAAATACAACTTCTCAGCATGGGGTCCAAATGGAATGCATCGACTGATTCAAAGCCCTGCTGAAAGGAAATCCCAAGGCAGCCATATCCAACTCACATCTATCACATTTGCAACTGGACTGAAAATTTCTAGAGGTACCCAGACAGTCTTCTTTACTTCATTGACCTAAGCATGGAATCCTTTCTTTAAGCTTAAAGATTCTGAATTGAGGAGCACAGAGCTTCAGGAGAGAGTGACTGAGCTGGAGAGTTTGCTGGAGGAGACCCAGGCAGGCTGCAGGGAGAAAGAGGCTCAACTGGAAAGCCTGAGACAGAGAGAAGCCACTAGACAAAGGTAAATACTGCTGTGGGGTTGAAGAAAAGGAAGTGGAGAGCTAAGTTCTGATCTCCTCTGCCTCACACACTACCTGTGTGACTTTGGATAAATCTCTTTACTTCTCTGAGCTTTGATTTCTTTAGATTATATATAATACGAAAGCTTCTTATGGGCAGGGATTAAATATGTCTTTGGTTCCTGAGGAGGGGTGGGACTAGAGCAGTGTATCCTTTGGAAAGATCCAGTCCAGTACCTGGAGTATTTATGTGTTGAGTGAATGAAAGCACTTTATAAATTGGGAAATGAGTTATCTGTATATTTGTAAAAGTAGATCTTCATGTAGGATCTATACGTAGGTAGTGTTTATTCACATTTCAGCCTTGTGGCTGATGGTTACCGGGAGCATCTGTTTGTCTTCAGCCCTAGGGATTGCTCTCGATTACTATGACAGGTTCTGAGAACAAAACAATATGCCATAGTGTACTCTCAGGGTGTCTTGGGAGCCTTCTCCATTAGGCACCTGGTTTCCATATTAATAGTTTCTAAAAATGTGATGGCTGTGCTTCAGTAGCGTCTTGGACCAAATCCAGGTTATAATGGGATGGATTGGATTTATTTTCTCATATTCAGTCACCATAACCCTGTTGTTTATTTCAGTAGATGGGCCATCATGGAAGTGATTGTGGGGACCTGTGGGAGGAAACCCTTGGTTGGAGTCAGAGTATAGTTAAGGGACAAAGTTGGCTTCACCCCAGACTGTGTGTCTAGAAAAAAGGAGCTCTGTATTGTACTTCCCAAATATAAATGATGTAATGTGTGACTTTTATAATCAATACATGCAATGAATGTTTATTTTTTAAAATATCAAAACAAATAATAAAAGAGCCTTGGGCAAGTAGAGAATCAATGGCACATTACAATAGAAAATGGCCCCTAGAGAAGGAAACTAACACACTGAGCAGCTTCTGTATAAAATACATTACAACACAACAGACCTAAGATGTTACTCCAGCTATGGTTTGGAGGGGCCTAAGTGTCTTGTCCCAAAACAAAGTAAAGAGCAGAGCCAGGAATCAAAGCCATATTGCTGACTTCAAAGCTCTTGAGAAGGCTCCTGTCTTTCAGCCTGCAAGATAAGCAGTGTGTGAAGAAGGCCAGTGGAGAAAGTCCAGCCCAGCAGGGAGAAGGTCTGAATGTGGAAATGGATTCCTGGCGGAAGGAACGTGATTCCCTCCAAAAGGTGAATGAGAGTGTCTTTTAGAAAAGAGAAAATAGGGTATTGGGAAGAAACCATGAGAGCCCTGGGCCTCCTAGAATCTGCTGTCTAGAGCTTTTCTCTCTTTTCTGAGAAGTCACCCCTGCATGTTCACCCTTATGGCAGGCAAACTTTACTCATGTAGCATACAGGTAAGAGTTAGTGGAGGAACATGCCTCTGAGCATAAACCCCCCACACACACACACACATGCACAAAAAGCCAAACTCACTGCTGTCAAGTCAATTACGACTCATAGTGACCCCCACTGGGTTTCCAAGGCTTTAAATCTTTATGGAATTAGATCACCCCATCTTCTTTCTGTGAAGCAGCTGGTGGGTTTGAACCGCTGACCTTTGGTTAGCAGCTACAGCACCAGAGCCCCAAAGTGGTGCACTGAAACTTGCAACATGTCACTCATGGCTCAGGTCCCATACAGAGTCTCTGACACTGGACAGAGTTGTAAATAGTAAAGTGGTCTGGTTTCTCAGCTAGGCAGAGGAAAGGGAGCTAAGGGCCTGCCAGTGAGACTGACTACAGATCATTAAAAAAGAAAACCCAGAAATGGTGCAGAGAATACATGAGGGCTCAAAAAAAATGAAGCCAGGCCCATTCAGGGTTTCTCCTAGGATAGTTATGACTAAAGCTATAAGTAACAACACAGTCACTGCTCTGGATGGGGCAAGCTTCATTGAACTGAATTCTGAGCCATATCCTTCACCAAAGAACCAGAATATACACTAGCTGTATATAAAGTTGGTTCCATTGGCTTGTAGTTGTTAGAGAGTGAGTTCCTGTACTCCTCCATCTGCCCCAATAGTGGTCATAGGTCCACACTGCATTTCTATATAAACCTCTTTTGTAATTGGAACACAGTTGTATGAGGCTGTTCAGTCAAGATCAGGAGTCTGTGTCTTGTTTTTGCAGGTAGAGCTAACTAGTCTTCACCCTCGTCTCACTACCAGCGGGCTAAAGGCAATAGAGCTAATAGCCAAACCACAGATCCTGGTACAGGCCCTTCCCTTCTAACCTTACCATCAGCATTGTGTTTGTGCCTTCCTTGATGCCTTTTTCTTTTCAGGTTGTAGAGAAGCAGAAGCAGGAAATGGACCAGTTGCATTCACAAGTACAGGTAAGCAGGAGCCTGTGAGACATGGTAAGCAAGACTTAATGATGGTATCTCTAGAATGCAGCCAGCATTTTGTCTTATTCTCTGCCATGCAATTTGCTGGGAGATCTGGTGATGTAGTGCCTAAGCCATTTGCCTGCTAACCAGAAGGCTGGCGGTTCAAACCAAAGTAGATTGGGCAGCCTACTTCTGTAGAGATACTGCCTCAGAAACCCAAGAAGGAGTCGCTATGAGTTGGAATTGACTCGATGGCAATGAATTTTCAGCCTATAGTCTTGTTGGGAAGACAAACATGATTGAGAGAGCAATGCCCATGTTAATCCTGGGAGCACAAATTAGTCAGTGGAAGGGGCGCATTTAATGTCAAGGACAGCTTTCTGGAGATCCTGAGGATCTTAAAGGATTAGGGAAGAGTTAGCTGTGCAAAAGAGGAGGAGCTGGGTAATTGGAATTCCATATAGAAGGAGGAGTGTGAGTAGGACTATGAAAGCATGAAACAGTGTGGTTTGGGTATGATGCTGTAAGCTATTGGATATTGTTGAAGTATTCAGGTTAAGATGATGAAAGGGAAAGGTAGGCATTCCAAACTACAGGAGGGCCTTGTCTATCTAGCTAAGTTAGCTTTTATTCCTTGGGTAGGTGATAAGATACTATTAAATCACTTAATTGGGATGTGACATGGTCAGGTTTACAATCCAGGCTTGAGTGTGGAGGAAGATTGGCAGCCTGGAGAGAGGCAAGACAATGGACCAGGCGACTTTTGCAGAAATTTTGGTGAGCAATAATGAGGGAATCTGACAAAAGGCAACACAGCAGGGATGGAGATGTGAGGGGACTGATTTCAGTGATTTTTAGGAGGCAAATTTGGGAGGAGTCAGTGACTGACAGGATGTGGGGCACTGAAGAATAGTCAGAAATCAAAGATGATTCCCAGTTTCTGTTTGGACCAGAGTAGGAGTGCCCTTAGTTGGGTGCTCCAAGAAATCCTGGAAAAAGTAGGTTCACTCAGTTTCTCTTTGGGCTCTAAAAGAGGTTTTCCCACCAAACACATGAAATGCACTCACTCTGAGGAACAACTGAAAGCTACAATCCTGTATTTGGCATTATGTGGTTTGGGCTATGTCTGTTTAAGTTACCTGTTTTAATTCCTGTAAGGAAATAGGCCTAGGGAGCTTTCAGGAAGTCCTGGTGGCACAGTGGTTAAGCAGTAACTAAAATGTCGGCAGTTGGAACTCACCAGCCACTCCGTGGGAGAAAGATATGGCAATCTGCTTCCGTAAAAGATTTTAGCTTTTGAAACCCTATGGGACAGTTCTACTCTGCCCTATGGGGTTGCTATAAGTCGGCAGTGAGTTTGGATTTTGGTTTGGCATGAGTTTTTATATACCAATTTCAAATCCCAGGGTTTTAGTAGAATTTTCAGTGAATATAAAAGTATTTCCTAAAACCCTGAGGTTCCACAAAAGTTGGAAAAGCCCAACATTTAAAATGGTATATTAACCAGTGTTGGGGCTACTTAGACAAATTAACATGTCCAGTGGAAGTTGCTAGAATTCAGCATGGTCACATTGGGTGTTTCATAGTGATGAGGCACTATGGCAGGTATATTTTTTTATTAATATTAAATTAAAAATTCAAAAACTTTTTTTACAATTAATTCAAATCATTTTCAAAATTGGGTGGGGGATTGGAATGAATAGAGTGGGAAGCAGAAGATAATAAGCAGAAAATACCTTGTTCCCTCTGGCCCTGAACACCCCCTGTAAAAACTACACATACACACACACACACACACACATACACACACTGCTCTGCTGCCCCTTCATCTGTGTCAACACAGTATTGGTGAGGGCATTTGACTGGGAGCTCCTCAAAGACAGGAACTAATTGGTATTTTCAGTCATCTCAGTGCCTGTCACACAGTAAGTGCTCAGTAAATATTGAACTGAACTGAATGGTATGTTCCCTGCACTTGAGAAAGATATGATCTAGTGGAGAGAGGAATCATGTGCAGCCAATAGAGTATTAAGCAGCTGTATTCATAAGCTGTGGTGGAGGTATAAGGGGCAAAATCAGATTAATTGGATCTGATTTACAAATTAGGGAAAGCTCAGGTGGGCCTTTGAGGTTTCTTGGGGTGACAGGCAGAGCAAAGCAGTCTAGGCAAAGAGAGAGAAGAATATGAGCAAAGGCACTCAAGCTGGATGGAGCCTTTGGGGAGGAAGGCTGGTCATTCAGTGTGGCTGGTGTGCAGGCAATATGGAGGGTAAAAAGAAGAGGTACATCTAGAAAAGTAGGTAGGGGCCAGACTGACCTGGAATGCCCTGCCGAAGAGTTGGAGTCTTTGGGTAGGTGGTCACGGGCTATAGGTGGGAAGTTAGAGATTAGGGCTATTGTAAAATTTCTAGCAATAGGGGATAAGGCCAATGTGGTCTGAACCAGAATTGTGCTATAGGTCCCTCAAAGGGGGGGAAGAAGGGAGAAATGTTTAGTGAGTTCACTTGTACCCCTGGTATATTTCCCCACCACTCCATGCCTTGGAATTCAGAGCCTAGAACAGGAAGTGGCTCAAGAAGAAGGAACAAGCCAGGCCCTGAGGGAAGAGGCCCAGCGGAGGGAGACGGCTCTGCAGCAGCTGCGCACAGCTGTTAAGGAGGTGAGCAGCATCAGCCAGGTGCCTTTGAATTACCTCCACAAACCTGATCTCTCTGTATACCTTCCTATCCTTACCCTGACAAGAGCTGCTGTGTTTGAGAGGTCTCTACTGAGGAATGAGAAAAGATTTTGCCTCATCCTTTATATCAGAGTCTCTAAGGCTATCTTGGAATGACCATAATCACCCAGGAATGCTTTTTGGATGTAGAAAGTAAATCTCCCTCCTGTTGTTTTCCTGCGTTCACAGATTTGTGGGATTAAGGAGGGAGGGTTCAAGAAGCCTGGGGTTTGATGGTCCTGATGCAGTAAACAGAACTGTCAGCAGGGGGCAACCAAGTTGACTGGCCAAGCTGCCTAGGAAGTTCTCTCTCAGGTGGGATTGCCTCAGGGTCTAGTATAGCTGGGACCAGAGGGGAACTATATCCAGGTTCTTTAAAGCAGAATAGAGGTAAGCTGAGGGGAGTGAGTACGTTAAGATATTTAGGGACAGCGAGGGAAAGAGAGACACATCTGTATACAGACAGACACATTCCAATACTAGATTCTTCAGTTCCAGCCCCCCACCAGTGGCCACTAGCTATCTTACTGTCTTTCCTTGCCCCCTTTTATTCCTCTGATAAAACACTGATCAGACTGGCTGGTAGCCACTTTTGTCAGGGTGGCAGGGAGAGATTGAAACCAGTGTCTCCTCAGATTTCACAGTTCACGTTAAGCCGTCTCTAATAGCCTGGCTAACGGAGTTGGCTGAGGGACTGGCTTCAGATAGAGTTCCTAGGGCGGGAGCATCTCTGGTTCCGGAACAGAAACCTGGAGCCTGATGACTCAAGAGTCTGCTAGGGAGCAGCTTCCTCTCTACTGCTGGAGCCCAGTGGGCTGAATTCTAACTCCCTGAGGAATCAGGCCTGATATGGGGTGAGGACCCCAGCTCTTGGAGAGGGGATGGAGAGGGGAGACACGGCCTGTGACTCACACCCTCCCCTCTACACACATATATACATATGTCCACACTCATGGCACAGGTTCTCTGCCTCTCTCTGGGCCTGGGTTAATAATGCATCTTGCCCATCTATCTGCTAAGCTTTCAGTGCAAAACCAGGACCTGATTGAGAAGAATTTGACACTCCAGGAACATCTCCGTCAAGTCCAGCCAGTGTCTCCACCTTCACCAGACATGGCCCAGTTGGCACTTGAACTATACCAGGAGTTGGCCAGTTGTTTTCAAGATCTACAGGCTGTCTGCAGCATTGTGACCCAGAGGGCGCAAGGCCACGATCCCAATCTCTCCCTGCTCTTGGGCATTCACTGTGAGTCACCAGGCCAGTCTGAGGCCCCAGAAAGAGGGGCATTTCTTTTCTCCTTACCTCCATTCCACTCTCCCATCCTTCGGGCAGTGTGTGAACAAGGCTACGGAGTAGGTGTTCAGTAGATCTGTTTTGGAAACAGGAATCCTTATGGAACATCTGTGTAACAGGTGCCTTAGATAGCAAGTTATCAGCCCATGGTCTTCAGCTGCTTTTTTAAAAAGTGCCATGTCCCAAGATCGTAGGCTTAAGGTGCTGCCCATCCATATGCCCCCTCACATGAAGCATCTCCTAATGACCTACTGGCTAACAGTCTTGAAACTCTCTCCTCCCCAGCTACACAGCACCCAGGGACTCAGCTAGACTTGCAGAAGCCGGATGTGATCAGAAAGAAGCTAGAGGAGGTTCAGCAGCTGCGCTGTGACATCGAGGATTTGAGGACCACCATGTCAGACAGATATGCCCAGGACATGGGAGAAAATTGTGTGACACAGTGAGGAATGCTGGAGGTGTGGGACAGGCCCTATTCCCCCAGGGAGGGTCTGGACTGCTGAGAGCCCAGTCCAGCAGGTTCCTGCCCTGACAGTCTCTTGCCTACTGTCTGCTGCTATTCCTAGAGAAGAGGGGGTGGTAAAAGTCTGCAGCTGAGGCCCAGGGCTGATTAGGAAGCTGTGCCTGCCCTGCCCCACAGTGGCTCTGCCTTGTTAGATTATGTTTGTTCTCATCCTGATTCACCCTTTGAGGGTGAGTTACCAATTAACTTTTGCAGGCACAACTAACTGATAAGTTCTCACAAACTGCTCCCAGCCCCAGGCTGACGTCAGAGGCAAACAAGTTGCTTACCTTCCTTCTCCATCCTCTGGGATGGAGCCACATTCATTCCCACTTCATACCTTGATCCTACTGATTGCCAGCACTCATTAGAGAGGCCTGGAGGGGCTGAATACTACAAAGTGGCTGTTTGAGAAGTCTCATGCCTCGTGTCTCAGCCTTCCTGGGGGGTCAGCTAGCTTTCTGGGTTTTCTCAGGCCCAGTTTTCTTCCTCAGGGCTCTTATTCTCCCAGAAGCCTCAGAATGATCTATTAGTAAAGTGCCCACTAGGATTGGAGGCCCAGAAATTGCAGCCAGGGCTTCTTAATCTGCTCACCAAGCTATTTGACAGGAGACCCTGCTTTCTAGCTGCTCTCTGCCCCTAGGGCCTTAGCCATGTGGTTAGCACAGACCCCTTGCCTTTGTTTTCAGGCCTTCTTGGGCTTTGAGTACAAACTCTTCTCGTGGTTCAGGACTTGGGCAGGATTTTTCCCCAGAATGCCAAAGGGCAATTGTCAAGCTGCTCATCCCCTTCCCCTGGAACTGGGGCTCAAGCCTGACCTGATTTGTGCCTCTCATGTTTGCAAGGAGACCTTTTACTTTCTTGGTTCTGGACTCCTAAAGTTCAGAGTACCTAGTACAGGTTGGCTTTATGTTAAGCTTTTAATACCCTACCCTCCTCTCCCCCACCATCTCCCTGGGGCCTTTGTACCCTTTGTTTTTTTGTTTCTCTTGCCTCCTTGGTTTAGGGGGCATCTAACGATTGTTTGTATCTGGCTGTTTGGACTGGTCCAGGCCTCCTCTAGATCTGAAGCTAGGCCAAGCAGGGGGTATGAAGGCGTAAGGGGAACACTAAGTAGTTCAGGAGCCCTGAGTCACCCATAAGACTCTTGCTAAGCTTTGGGCTAACAGGGCAGTTTCCTGGACCTCACTCCTGGGTCTGAATGAGGCTCCTTCTTAAGTGTTTTTACAAGTGTGTTTTATTTATGGAGTGACTTATCCCTTCCATTCAGACCAGCCCCACCAGGCTGTTATTCCCTCTGCCTCTGGGCTCCTGTCTCCTGAAAGCAGAGCTGCCTAAGTTGGTCTCCGCCCTGTGTTGGAAGCCCAGCCCCCATACTCACGGGTATTTTTCCTTGTAAAGTTTATAAGCAGTTATTTATATGAATCTTTGTTATGTCAACTGGTTTGTACTGCCTATTTTGATTACAAAATAAAATGTTTAACAGACTTCTCAGTTTTTCATAGCCTTCCATCATCATCATGCCCCTACCTTATTCTCATTTTGGCTTGTTAAAGCCAACGTGTTTCTCAAAGTTCCCCAGACAGCGACAGTGAGAGACTTTTGGCAGGTCTACTCTCACGTCACTGTCTGTCCATTTACTTCTGCTCCTGTTGTTCTGTAGGGGCAAATAAGATCGCTGCCCACACCCCTTTCTATTGGGCAAAGCTGTTTTGAATCATAGAGCAACTCCGTCATTGGAAAGCGATTCAGCAGTCTCCCAGAGAGGAAGTCTAGCAGCTTCTGGGTTGCTATGAGGAAGCAGCTTCCCCAGAGCAAGGCCTGCCACTGTTTGCCTCAGGGCAGCAGTTTTGCTGGGCTATTACCTGTCTTGAGCACTGGACCTGGGGGAAACTGCTAAGTCTTCAAAGTTGGTCTGGTTGCTGGGCCCTGCTCCCTCTGAACCTTTTGGATTTCTGCTAGGAGCAGTTGCTGTTTCACTCCATCCACAGCATGGAGTTGGGGTTTAGCTGGAGGCTCTCCTGGACCAGTTGTGGATCTTTAAAAAAGGGCCAGCTAAGGGCAGGCACTGGGAGCTCTGGTAGTGTAGTGCCTAAGGCACTTGACTGCTAAACAGAAGGCTGGCGGTTCAAACCCACCAGCCACTCCTCAGAAGGAAGGTTGGACGGTCTACTTCCATACCACCTCAGAAACCCAATGAGGGGTTGCTATGAGTCGGGCCAACTCCAGGGCACATAACAACAAGGGCAAGCACTAGAGTCCTGACATTAGCAGTGCTTCACTCTCTGATCTCCATCTGGCTGCTTGAGGGTGCGGCCACCACCCTTCCTTGTCTAAACTTGCCTGGGTGGGGAGTTGGGGGGATCCCCAAGCAGGGGCTGTCCCTGCTGTGGTATGCCTCCCTTTCCCCGGGGGATGGGGGGTGGGGTGCCTGGGGGTGGTGATGTGGAGGTGGAGCTTGAGTGAGTTCCCCAGCTTGGGAACTTTGAGTTAGAAAAGAGCCCAAGCTTCCCCCGAACTGAACCGTATTATCATTGCTTTTCCTCTTGGTAGCTAATGGTGGCACCTGGCACCGGGGTGGGTAGTTGGGTCACCAAATCTGGCTGATGACTGCGGCACAGACTTTGCCAAACCCTTCCCTCCTCGACCTTTCCTGCCATCGGGTCCCTCCGCAGCCTCACACTGTGAACCTCAAAACAGGGTATAGTCGAAGAGGACCGCTACAAAAGGAGTGGCCCTGCGTGGGGCTGAGGTCCTTGGCGCCTGGCCACGGGTTGGGGGAGGGGGCCTCCGGCGCGCGGGGCGGTGTTTCGCAGGCCCCGCCCCAGGCGCGCGCCTGACTGCGCCACCCATTGGTTCCAAGAGCCGTGACTCGCGGGCTGAGCAGGAAGGAAACCGCTCCCGAGCGCCGCAGCGTCGTCTCCTGGCGGTGCTTCTGCCGCTATCGCTGCCCGTCGGTCTGTCGGTGATTCCGTTCCCCCAGCACCATGAGTGGCTTGCGCGTCTACAGCACGTCGGTCACCGGTTCCCGCGAAGTAAGTGCATGCTGATGCGGGCACCAGGGAAGAAGGTGGGGGCCGTGTCCCGGAGCTCCTGACCAGGTGCCCGGGATCCGCCCCCAAGGACGGCGGCGGGGCGGGGGGGTCGGCAAGAGCCTGGGCTTGTTCTCCAAGGTTTGGAGGCTGGTCTGTGGCCCCATCCAGATCCCTTTTATCTTGGGTCTAAACTGCCCGCGCCCATCCCCCGTCACCTGGACAGCCCTTCTCCGCACCCCCACTACCAGGCTGTCGGGACCACTTTAATCTGTCTTATCTACCACCATGTATGCGTGTGGGATGGGGGTGGCCCCTTACCACGCTTCTATTCAGGCCTGCCTTGCCTTCGCTCAGCTCCATGCTCCCCACCCCAAACCTTTTCTCACACTCCTCCCCACGGTTGATGGTCCCTCTCTTTATCCTACACCACCTCAATCCTGACTTACCCTCCCAACTGACCAAAGCTCTTGGTCACAGACCTTCACATGGCCCAGGCGTCCCCCATATATCCCCCAGCCTGCCCACTGACCCCTGCTGACCCTCTGCCCCCAGATCAAGTCCCAGCAGAGTGAGGTGACTCGCATCCTGGATGGGAAGCGCATCCAGTACCAACTAGTGGACATCTCCCAGGACAACGCCTTACGGGAAGAGATGCGAGCCTTGGCAGGCAATCCCAAGGCCACCCCACCCCAGATTGTCAATGGGGACCAGTACTGTGGGGTATGGGCCTGGGGGCTGGAGGCTGGGGGGACTGCTGTAGAGGCTTAGGATCAGACCTGAGGCAAAAGCACTGGTGGGCCTCCCGTGCCAGTGCTCAGGTAATCACCCCTCACCTCCCTTCCCAGGACTATGAGCTCTTCGTGGAGGCTGTGGAACAAAACACACTGCAGGAGTTCCTGAAGTTGGCCTGAGCCAAGCCCACCCGTGGTTCCCCCACTGGACTCCGTCACCACATTCCCCCCCAGCCCTCGTCTGGCCATGAAGGACCTTATGACCAATTCCCTGTCATTCCTAACCTTCTGACCTTAGAGCCCCTTCCCCCCAAGCCCGGGTCCCTTCTCCCCTCTCTAACTAGCTCCTTTTCCTCTCAGGGCTGGCTATCCCAGCCAGGCCCTGAGACTGCCACCCTGCCTGGTACTGGCTGACAGGTACCTCTGTTGGTGCCATTGGCCAGGGCTCTGCCAAAGGCCCCGCAATCCCTATCCTGGGAGCACCCAGAGACAATTAAATGTTCCATTCCATTGGCACCGTGTTTGTCTGGTTGTGGCCTGGGAGTCCTGGGCTGGGAGATGTGACTGCTGAGGCTGTGCTCCTGTGTCTGTCACCTCTGTGTATGATGGTGCCTGTGCTTGGATATGCTTCTCGCACAAGCCTCTGTGGACCAACAGTTCCTGGAGACTGAATGGGTACCCTCCAGTTCACATGCATGTGATGGTGTCCCTGATGCTCATGTGCCTTGGTGTGTATGCATGTTTGCATGCCTGTCTATGAAATGTGGCTGTCTGCCGGTGTGCCAGCAGGCTGGCTGAGTGTAGGTGTGTCATGGGAAGGGGTACACAGCTGCAGTGCTGCCAGTTTCGGGGCATGAGTATAGTTGTGGCCAGGGCTTTGTGCCTACTGTTGAAGTGTCCCCACATGCTTGTGGGTTTGTACACATCTGCCTGCACAGGTATCTGCTGGCTACACACTTGTGCACATGAGGCCTCACTGCCCCAGCTGAAACAGGCTGGGGGAACTGGAAACCCAGCTGGGCCAGCCCTTCCAAGCACTGGATCTGCCTAGCCCTCCTGGGCAAAAGAGTAACCTAGAGGACAAAGACCCGGCAGCCAGGCCCGCCAGCTGGGGGCTCGGGTTACCAAGGGGTGGGTCCATGCTGCCCCCTTCCCTGGCTGGGCTCCTGCCTCCCCCGCCCCCCAACGACCCGGTGGGGCTGGGTGGGCTAGGCAGTCAGGCCTAGAGAGTCTGGCCGAGCAGCCGGTGGTGGGGGCTTTATTTGTGGCTGGGGCCAGGGTCTGGATCAAAACCCTGGCGGGTCTTGGGAATGGGCGGTGGGGCCCGGCGGGCGCGTAGCAGCAGTGTCGCGTTGGGCACCAGGCCTGCTGCCTGCAGCGTGAGTGCATCATCATTGTAGACCATGGGTGGGAACGTGCTGAAGATCTCAAAGGTGGTGGGGTCCATGGCCCTGGGGACCAGGTGGGGTGGATCAGGCTGGGTGTGGAGCCAGAGGCCCCTCTGTGGCCATTACTCCCACCGGGCACATACCTGGCCTTCGCCAGCAGGGCACGCACATCACCCACAGTGTCCTTAGGCCACATCATCAGCAGGAATGCCTGCTCGCAGTTCTCAGACTTGATTCGCAGCATGGAGAGTGGTGGCGCTGGGGTCTCAGGTGCCTCCTGGCTCCTGGGGGCCCAAGGCCATCAGCGCTCCTGGTACCCCAGGCCCCAAGCCCCGGCCCTCACCTCTCAGGCTGACCCTCACCTCTCACGCTCTGCAGCCAAAGCAGGCGTATCCACTATGATCTCCTGGATCCGGATGGGCAAAGGGCAGCAGTTCTGGAAAGCAGAGATGGAGAGTGGACAGAGCCACCACACCCCCAACCCTTAGACAGGGGCTTATCCTTGGTCAGGGATGGTTGAGACCAATGGCCAATTCGAGGTTAAGGGGAAGATGGTTCTGTGTAAACTGGGGTCCAAGAGAGGAAGTGGAAAGAAAGAGAGGCTCTAGGAAGTTGCCCTGTCATTCCCCAAGAAGCCTTGAGCTTCCTCAGTCTAATGGGGAAGACAGAACCCCATACAGACCATAACCAGGGGTGTTTCCCTGGGGAAATGACATCTAGGCTGTGCCCTGGAGCATAAAGAGTCCTTAGAAATGGGGGTGGGGAGTGGGGGTGGGGAGTGGGGGGGTGGACAGCAGGGATTCCAGACAGCATAGACCAAGATCTTGAGCTCAGGAATGGCTTCCTAAAGGTGATACATTAGTGAAACTGCTAGCCTGCCATGTGGCTGAAGCTGGGAATCAGGTTGGACAGGAAGAGGAAAGAGGTAGGAGAGGTGGGGAGGGGCTTCAGTGTATGGCAGCCTTGAGGGCCTGAGTAAGGAGCTTGTCCCTGTCCTCCCAAAACACACTGGGGGATTTCAGCAGCGAAGGATCCAATTTACATTTTCAGAAGAACACAGAGGCAGCAGGGGAAGGGCTGGCTGGTGTGGGAAGGCCGATGAGGCCATTTCAGTTGTCTGGGAGAAACATGGGAGCCCACACTTGTAGTGGGAGTGGAGTGAGAGGACGGGTTTGGGAGAAGCTGTGGGAATTGACACAAGACTTGGCAGTGTGGGGGGAAGGAGGCAGAGGTGTCCTGGAAACAGGTTTGGTGTCTTTCACAGGTGGAGAACTGGGAGAAACAGCAGGATGGGGAGTCGGGGAGATGATTTCTGTGAGGGCCAGCTGAGTTGGAGGGTCCTGAGGGGTAACCAGGAGGGGGTATCCAGGACTGAATTAGGTATTTAGGTCTGAACCATGAGGGGGGCAGCCTGGGCCTAAGGCTCATCCCATATCTCATGGCTTGGACCCCAACTTTTCCCCTCTTCCCACCACATTGCCTCCCTCGACCCCCTGCTGGGTCCCAGCCCACAGTTCTCACCAGCCCTACAGTCCATGCCTTCATCAGGGGCCCCAAGCCTGAGCCTCTAGATAAGCCACTGCTCTGGGAAGCTGGGCAAGAGTTGGTGGTGCATATCCCCAAGAGGGCTGGGTTAGTTGGGGCTGGCCTCACCTGCAGGGTGTCCCGGATGGGGCCTCGGAGGTCAACCACCCTGCCTTGCCGGATCACGACCTTGGGGAGCTTGTTCAGAAACTTCTCAGCAGTCATCTTAGAGCCTGCAGGGAGTAGGGCATTGGGAGCCGTGGCCAAGGGAGGGACTGTGAGGGATGGAGGAGGTCACCTGCACCACCCCCCAGCCACCACGCTCAGCCTCAGGCCTGAGCTCACCTGAGCTATCCAACCTGCTCGAGGCCTTGCATATCCTCTGCCGGCCCACCACACGGCCCTCGCCTGGGAAAGGGTCCAGCCCATCCTCCGGGTAGAACTGATTGCGAAGGTCAATCACCTGGCAAGAACGGAGAGGCAGGGCCCAGCTCTTCAGCCCTGGGTCCCACTCCAACCCCTGCTTGCCCACACAGAAGCCTCAGACCAGATTCTGGGAACAGGACCAAGGGATAGTCTAGTGCAATTCCCTTTTTATAGATAAGGAAACTGGCCCTGTGAGAGAGCAGGGGAACCACCTAGCTGTCACCTACCTGGGCCCTGTGCTTCCCGCAAGCACCCCTGATCTATGCCATCTGAGGCCACAGCACTGACATCCTCCTCAAAGACACCCTCTCATGAGCCGACTGTGAGGGGAGGGCATGAGGGTATTAAGAAAAGGCAAAGCCTTCTGCTGTGGTCTGGTCTGCAGGGTAGATCTGCGTCACACATATGACCTTACTTACCCCATCAAGGCCCATCTCCTAGGCCCCCACCTTGGCACGGACTGCCTCCAACACCCCCAATCATGACTCACACTGTTTCCCAGCTCTGAGCGCACACGCCTCCTCATTGTGGAACTGTCACCTACCCTCTGGGACATACTGCCTTGTGCTCCCACAGCAGCACCCCCGGCTCACACACCCCACAAGGACCAGCTCCTCCTATCCTTTAGGCCCCAACATTTGCCCCCTTCTGTTCTGCATGTGTGGTTCATGGGATTGCCCTCAACCCTGACCAGACAGCTTCAAGAGCCTCAGGGTGGGGTGGGGGGGAGCAAAGATTCCTCAGGGACCTCAGACTGTCAGGGTGCCCTGAATGCCAAAGGAAGAGAAGGGCAGCAGTCCAGCCAGGCGGGGCTGTGTCTTCAGAATGCCAGCAGAGGGTGCTATCTGTTGGTGTAGCGACCACAGGCGTGGCAGCCTACTCACTCCCTTCCCAGCTCAGCTTCAGGCTCACCTTCCTCTGGGAGGTCATCAGACTTGGGTCCCTGGAGGGTGCTCAAGTGGCTTCCCACTTCAGACTGGGTGACCCCTGAAGGGGAGCTGTTTACCCCGACCTCTCCAAAGTCCTTACACAGGAAGCAGGTGGTCTGAGGAACAGCCCATCATCACCTTAAAGGGGACTCCGTCAGGATACAGTCTCTGGAGCTCTGAGGGGAAGAAGCCATCCAAGATGTCTCGGAGGCAGCGCTGCAGAAAAGATGGGAAGGCTGAGGCCTCACTGGACATGTGTGGTGCCCGCCCCGGACAGCAGGCCCTTGGTGCTAGGCTCACCCAGTGGATCACCCTGGAATACTCAGAGCCTCGGGATTTGGATGGGGGGGCTGTCGGCAAGTTGTGCATGTAGCGCCGCTGTGGTTGGGCCTGCGGGGAGCTGGGCCCCACCTTCTCCAGCTATCACGGGGCGGCGGGAGCACCAGGGCAGCTGGTCCCCTGCTCGTACCTGCGTGGCGGGATCGTAGAAAGGCTGGAAGGGCCCATCGAACATGATTATGCCATTCCGGTAGAGCTTCAGGGGGATGGGCTCCAGGGTCCGGAGCCGGGCCCCGCCTGGCACTGGCGTCACCTGGGTCTCACCCTCTGCCACCAGCTCACTGAGGTCCTTCAGGCTGGCCAGCAGTCTGTCAAAGTCCACCTCTGGGGGCACCACTGAATCTCCTGGCGAAGAGGATGGGCAACCATGAGCCCCCCTTGATAGCTCCTGTGGCCGCCCTCCCCACCCTGGGCAATGGCATCTCCTTAACATGACTACCTGAGGAAGAGGAAGGACAACTAACACTGTATCTTTTACTGAGTGCTTACTATGTGCTTGGGGGTTAACATCCATGGTCATATTCACTCCTAATGCCGACCATATGCTGTAGGGGCTTAATCATCCCCATTCCTCAGATGACAAAACTGGGAGTGAGAGCCAGTTAAATGACTTGCTAGGGACACACAGTAGTAAGTAGCAGAAGCAGGATTTGGTCTGTGTCAGGCACTGGGTTGGCAGATGGGAAAAAAAAAAGGCAGAGCTCCAACTTAGGATCATGGTGGTCTGGGTTCAAATCCCAGCTCCTCCATTTCAGGAGGAGCAACCTTTGGTCAAGTCATTTAATACTCTGCACCGCGGCCTTCTAGGATGGAAATATGGCAGCATCTACTCCAAGGATGGCCTTGAGAGGCCAAAATGATGACCAGGGAGGGGCCAGCTCATCGCAAGCCCCTGCCCATGTCATTGTTACCAACTCTACCTTGCCACTAATGAGCTTCAGGCTGCCCAGGGCTATGAGGCAGGTGTTACTTATCTCCTTTTACACAGGCGGAAGTAGGCCCACAGAGATGAAAACTGACTTGCCCCAGGCCACCCGGCACACTGCAGGCAGGGCTGGGATGTGAGTTGGGGCTGACTCGAGAGTCTGTTTTTCCCAGCCATCTGTACTATCAGGAGAGGAGGGTCAGGGGTGGGAAGAGATGTCTGTTAGGTAGGCTGTCGGGACAACTGCTGGACAGAAGATTGGGGCAGATCTCGAGCTATCCAAACTGTTTCTGGGTCACAGACCCCTGCGAGAAGCTGACAGAAGTTTTGGCCTCCTCTTTTGAAAAGTGTGTGAACATACAGCTGTGCACAAGGCCTGGGGGGTGGGGTTGGGGGTGAGCACAGCCATGACAGATGCCAGAGCAGCAAAGGTAGAGCCCAGGTGGGAGGCCAGCTGGGGACACCTGAGGCAGGACAGCCTGCCCTGAGTCCTTGATTGTCCTGGTCCCCAAATAAGCTGTCCACCAGGGCGTAGCCAAACACAGCACCCAACACCCCAGTGACTTTCTGGACCTTCTTGGAGGCTAGTTTTCACCAGGACAGCCAGGCTGTGGCAGGATGTGGGTCAGGACTCAGGGGACCCAATTCCTTTCCCCACAGAGCTACAGCGGCTGTGCCGGGTAAGTACGGATGTGGGTGGCCATGCTTCCTGTTACCTTGTGGGAGCTGCAACAGTTATCCCCAGATGTCCTTCCCCTCTCCCCACATCCTTTATTGTCGTGGGGGTTGCACCTGCTTCCCCATCTCCTCTTGGGGTTCCCTGGAGACCCTGAGATCTCAGGAGAGACCAGCAGGAAAACCCACACAGACCATCATGGGTGCCGCTGGTATGTATGGGTTCAGAACAGAGTCAATAACGTCATTTTCCTTTAACAACTACTTTAAGAACAAATTGGTAAACCTAAAAATAACCATGGAGATCTCTCACGCAGTGCTGCCCCACCCCCATCCTTAACAGATGGGGAAAGTGAGGCCTGGGAGTCAGAGGACCTGGCCAAACAGACCACACAGGGCAGAGCTGGGAGGGGTCACAAGGGTGCTGACTCCTACCCAGTGCTCCTCCCCCTGCACGCACCAAGCTGCCCCCAGGGACCCAGGCTTTTCAGAGAGCTCACGGGCAGGGATGGTCCACAAAGAGTGGGGCAGGAGGAGGCCCAAGGGATGATGCCAAGATAGAATGAGAGGGAAAAGAGAAGTTTGCTGAACCTGCCCCAGAGGCAGCACTTAGCCAGCTTGGCAGAAGTAAAAGAAAAGCTGGGCCAGGCAGGTACTGGATGCAAGGGACTGGAGGGGAGATGAGGGGCCCAGGAAGAAGGAGCCCCAGCTCTGGGTAACCCATGCCTGAGAGAATAAGGCAGGAAGAGTGTGGTGTTGCCACACAGCAGGGCTGGGTGTAGCCAGTGAGCCCCACCCCATGAGTTGTCAACAGAGGTCTGACCCAGAGCTGATGGGGGAGAGGTGTAGTGGTGGGTCACATGAGGTGACAAAGGTCAGAGGTCAAGTTCCAGCTCTGCCCTGAGTTAGCAGCAGGACCAGAGGGTAAAGCATTTTCTCTCTTGAGATCTGGTTTTCCTCTCCATGGAGTGGGTAGATATTAAGAACTCTCACCCCGCCCCCAAGATCCAGCCAGTGAACCTGTCTGTAAATGATGATTCAGTGAGTGTTTCCTTCCGGCCCAGCCCCCACCCCCCTACACCCCCCCGAGGCTGCCTTCACTGTTCCCATTTCACAGGTAAGGACATTGGGCCTGGTAAGATGGCACATGGCTTGCAGGGCTCTCTAAGCCTCCATTCTCAGTGACCATGCAGACTGGTTCTTGGGGCCCAGCTCGGTGGGGTTCCTTTCCAGGGAGAAGAGTAGTGCTGGGGGATCATTTCTGAAGCCTCATCCAACTTTGAGAGCTCATGATTTTCTTAAAAAGGGAAGCGGGGTGATGTGGGGATCAAGTCTTAGCTCCTTGGCCCAACTCCCAAAGCCCTTAAAAGCTTTCCCCAGCCTTCCCTCAACAGGGGCCTCCCCTCACACTCTGGGCGTCACTGCATCCTCCTGGGCTCCGGAGCCACAGTGTCAAGCTCTGTCCTTTCTGAGCTGTGTGACCTTGGGCAAGTGGGCCAACCTCTCTGGACCTCTGTTTCCTCTTCTGTGATACAAAGACAATAGCAGTCCCTACTTCACAGGGTTGCTGTGAGGCTCAGTGGAAGTGCCTGGCAGATGTTGGCTATTATTGTCACTCACACCCCACCCATCTGCTCACTGCTGGGCACAGGCTGCTCTCATTCACACCCAAATCCTCCTAGAAGCCTTCCCAGGAGCCCCCTCAAGATGGGGCCCTGGCTTCTTCTGGCTTCCTGGAACCCTTGGGCCCACTTCTCCTCAGCTCTTGTCACAGGTTTTTGTTTTCTGTTTGTCTCTTCAACCACAACGGGTGCCCTGTGAACACAGGGTTTGAGCCAGCCCGGGCCTAGTTGGGTGGGTGTTCAGGAAGTGTGTACTGGATCCGTGTACCCCTTCAGCAAACAGTCTGGAGCACCCATGCCCTGCTTGTTGTGTGCTGTCGAGTGGATCCCCACCCACAGCAGAGTAGAACTGCCCCATAGAGTGTCCTAAGCTGTAATTCTTACAGCAGCAGATTGCCAGGTCTTTTCTTCTGCAGAGCCACTGATAGGTTAGAAGTGCCAAGCTTTTGGTTAGCCGCTAAGCATTTAACCATTGCCTCACCAGGATTCCTCATGCTCTGCTGTGTTGTTGTTGTTATGTGCCATCGAGTCGGACCCGACTCATAGCAACCCCTCCTTGGGTTTCCGAGGCAGTATCACTACGGAAGTAGATTGCCCCATCTTCCTTCCGAGGAGTGGCTGGTGGGTTTGAATCACCAGTCTCTGGTTAGCAGTCAAGTGCCTTAGGCACTATGCTACCACACTGCTAGGCCCTATAAATTCTGGTAGTGCCCTCCTCAGGCTCATACTCCAGTGAAGGAGCCAACAGACAGTGACGATAGGATGTAAGTGCCACTCTGGGGGCTGCAGAGCCCAGAGGAGGGTGAGACCATGCTGCACAGGCCTGGCTCCTTGCACGTCCCTAGGAGAGGCGCCCACTGCTGTGAGAGACTGAGTAGCAAGGTGCCCCCACCCCTCTTTGTTCCGCTGCCCTCCACACCCTTGCATCACCTCATGCACAGACTGGTGCAACAGGAAATGGAACCACACCTCACACCTGTGAGACAGGCCCTGCCCTGGGGACTTTGCCAATGTTCACTTTACCTCTCAGAGAAGCCAGCGGGAGGAAAACAGGCTCCAAGAGGCGGTCACTTCCAGGCACACACAACGATCCCAGATTTGCCACGCAAGACTGGAGCTCACCCTGCTCCCTCCACCTGCAGCTCTCTCTGTGGCCCCCGTGAGTGCCACGCGGCCCCTCCCCAGGCTGTTCCTTGCAGAGGACAGGTTAATGTCCCTCAAACATGCTGACAAGTCAGGCCTGCCTAACTGGGCAGAAGGCCCACCATCAGCCAATCCCGTGTGCGTGCACACACACTGGCCCATTTGCCAGGCACTGTGCTGGGCATGGGCACTGTGCAGTAACACTGACTACGGTCCCTGCTCATTTGCCATGTGGCAGCATGCAAACTGCTCCAGTGTGCACCCTCACTCGATCCTCACAACGCCCTAGACATCTCACTGAGGAGGAATTTGCCCATACAGGGTTGGTTCCAACCCAGGCCCCCCACTCCTCAGCCTGAGTCATTAACCCCTTTCCTCTAAAACAGAGTCCCTTTCCACAATGCTCTGGGGCAGCTACGCGAGACAGCACAGTGCCTGGTGAATGTGGGCACTAAGATGTGGATGGGAGGAGGTCTGCTTCGAGCCAAGCTTCAAAGGAGAGGAAAGAAGCGGGCAAGGCACTTCTGGAGGGGACAGTTGTTGTTGCTATGTGCTGTGGAGTTGGACCCGACTCATAGCGACATAGCGACCCCTCCTTGGGTTTCCAAGGCGGTATCACTATGGAAGTAGATTGCCCAACCTTCCTTCTGAGGAGTGGCTGGTGGGTTTGAACCGCCAGCCTTCTGGTTAGCAGTCAAGTGCCTTAGGCACTACGCTACCAGAGCTCTCTGGAGGGGACAGAGCATAGTGCCAAGGTGGAGATGGAAGTGAGGGTGGGGAGGAGCCCAGGCTGCCTGGGGTCTGGGCCAGGCCCGTCTGAGGGGCTAGACGGTGGATCCAGGGACCAATCCTAAAGTGGCCTTGCCAAACCAGGACTCAAGAGTTTAGGACTTGGGAAGAAGGATGGTGGGGGTAGAGCGGGACTGGTAGGGAAGGGTGGGAGATATAGAGGGAGGGCAGGAACTTGATGGGGAAATGAG